AAAAAGCCATTCTCTCTGCTGCTGGCAGCCGCGATCGGCCTCTCACTCCTGGGTCTTCTTTAATTGAGCTCAGGTGCTATCATGTCCCTTTCTGTTTCCCTTCTCTTCCCTGCACACAAGCTGCACACCTCTGCTTGGAGTCCCTGGGGCTGGAAGAGAAAGGACTTGGCCCTGCGATATCCAGTCCATTCACTGCAAGGATAAAGCCAGGTATACAAAAACATGCTCTGTTTTCAGAAACATCCTTTTTCAGGAATGTGAATTCTCTAGCGATGGCTCACAGGGAAGCGGTGTGTTTAGACCTGACCAAGCAGAGCCACCGAGCTATGAGTTCTGCCTCCTTCTGTGTAACCACTGCCACCACTGGCCAAGTGCTGTCCACCCACCTGCTACTGAAACCGAAGACCATCGGAACAATCATAAAAGAACTTGTTCTAGGGACTGGAGAGATGACTCAGCAGTTAAGAAAACCTGAGTTTGGTTCTCAGCACCTACATCAGGCATCTCACAACCACCTACCTGTAACTCCAGCTCCAGGGAGTCCAATGCCTCTGGCTGCCAAGGACACCGGCACTTATATTATGTACACACACACACACACACACACACACACACACACACACACATAACACTTAGAAAAGAACCTTTTTTAACATTTTATTCTTGACAGGCTGTTCAGTGGCTGTCATTATACTAATGACAGCTAATTGCAATAGCATAAATGCCTTGGGTTATCTTTGTTGTAAGTTTAAGGATCTTTGACCAAATTGTTTGCATCTTGACTCCTACTTTTCATGTAGTCTCATTAGAGTGCCAGAACACTTGTTACCCATGTGTAACACTGTGGGTTTGATCCCCAGCACTGGAAGAAAGCAAAAAGCAAAATTGTCCTGCCTGACACAGATAACCGCATGGTCCCAGTTTTACCTTTATTACTAATTGCCTGAAGTGTGGCATTGCATTGGATTCTGGGTGGGACTGTAATAATTCCCTTGGATGCTTGCTGTGGTAGTCTAAATACTTAGGTGGGTCAAGAACAGAGGTGCCCAGCTAATGAATAACACATCTACAGTTTCCTTGCTCTGAAGAGACAGTCAATGCTGTTGCTGCAAGGAGGTCCCTCCCAGGGAGCTGACCATTCATTTTGTTGTGAGGTTGGCACAGGGAAAGTAAATCTGTAGAAAGCTGTTTCCTCCTAACGTAAATTTTAGTCTTAATGGCCTGTGGCTGCCTCAGCAGCCTGAGCGTCTCAAGAACTCAACATTTTATGATGTAGTAGAATGGGAAAGGAAATCTATTTAGCCCTTGGCATCTGTGACTAAGATGCCAACTAACCCTGCCATGGAATCATTCTGTAAACCCGTGGTCTCTGTAAGTCCCTGGGTGGTTGGGCCTGATCGCTCATTAGCTAATTCTTCTGTGAAATTGTTTGAGTTATCATTCCTAGTCTTAATGGAGTAATAACATTTGTGGTTTCCTTCAGAATATTAATGTTTCAGAGCTGTTCATATTTCATGTCAAGGCCTTTTATTTCTAGATCAAGTTCTTTAAGAAATATCTGCTATCATATAAGCCCATTTCTACCTTCTATCAAAGTCCTTTGGTTTGTGTGTGTCTTCCTTATTATTCAACAGCATGGCTGGATATTAAACCACTTAGATCTGGCTCACAATTTCCTAGTCTGGAAGCCTCCATGCTTTTATGGAGTATGGTGCTGCTGATCTATAGTCTATAGGTAACTGAGTTAACCTGCATCCCATTAGGAGAGTCTTAGGGTTACTCCCAAGTCACTGCCCTTTGCCTTCATTGAAATCTTGGCTGCCCATAACTTCACTAATATAATTTGGCTTCCCACACTGTTCCCGTTGGCCTGGCATTTACAAACCAAGGATGTTTCATATCTGCTCCACCCTCTTGTATGTGACACATAAAAATGTAAACTATGGCCAATCTTCTGATTAAATCTCTACTCCGTCGAGTTAGTCACTCAGAAACAAACATCCTTCATAAAAATACCTTTTCCTTCCCGTCTCTACATGGTCTGGACATAGTGTCACGGATGTAGGGTATGCTGTGTGAAGCTTTCCCAGATCTTGTTTCTCGGTTATACCCAGTGTGACCCGATTCACTCCCTTCTGCTCTTTACCCCTCAGATGCCACAGTGCACCCTTTACCTCAGTTTCACCTTATAAGAAATAGCCTTTCAGCCCTGAATGAAGAATGCATTATGTTTCCCTGCAGACTCCACAATAATGTCCTTCAGTCTAGCGTCTACCAGCCTGCCTATGCAGCTATAATCTTGTTTTCTGTATTGTGGCAGCAGGCTTCCCAATTTTTGCATTATCTTTACCCAGAAAGGAGCACACAGAGTACCTTGTTTCCAAGTTTCTCACATTATAGATGTGCACAAAAGGGCCAGTTTGATGATGATATTTGAATAAAACTGCCAAATGCATGTTCTCTTTACATTTTGAGGTACATATCATTGCATGGAAGTATGCAGAGCTCCTGACTTGGCATTTCTGCCATGTCCATCACAAGGCCAACCACCCCCAGGAGCTGGTTAGATATTCAGCTCTCGTCACTCTTAGCCTGTGCATTGCTTCTTGATACTCCTAAGCTCATGACACCATGAGAAAGTGATTCTGGCTTTATGCTTGAGCAGATGACTTGCAGGGTTGCTTTGCGTCAAAGCACAGTTATATACTATTAAAATGTATTTCTCTTCCATATATGGTAAGTATCTTACGGCTGTGGTCATTCTGACAAGTGTGTCAGTCAGCTTTACAGTAGATAGTGGCACATAACAGTAGAAGTGTTTGTGGGAACAAACAGCCACAGCTTGAGAAGAAGCAGGAAGATGGCAGTGAAGGCCAGACGTGCTCCTCTCTTGCAGGAATTCAAGGTTCATATGTAAGCTATCTAATATTTCCAAGGACCCAAGGAGTTCTTATTAGGCTCTGCCTCCCAAATGTCTCACCTTCACCCAAAAGAGACACCCTGGGGACCAAGGTTTTAATCACAGTGAACCCTTGTGGGATGCTCAAACTATTCCTAAATCATAGCAAATAGTACCTTAAGGTATAATGGGCCCTTTAAAAGTGCTGAGCAATTGAATAGCCAAGAGAACTTCTTAGAGAAAGAGGAAATTACCAGGGAACCAAGTGTGGTAGCACTCACTTGTAAAGCCAGCCCTGGGGAGATGAGACAGGAGGATTGCCCTGACTTTGAGGCCAGCCTAGACTACAAAGCAACTATCAGGCTAGCAAGGGTCTACAGGCTAAGAGCCTGTCTCAAAAAGAAAGGAAGAAAGAAAAGAAAGGAAGGATGAACTACAAGGCAGCACATGGATAAATACAAGGAAATCACCTATGTGTGCTTAGCTGCCAAGTAAACCAGCACACAGGTCATCTGAGGTGTTTTTCATAATTAGACATCCAAGTGTGAAGAAGAGAAACTTGATCCATGTCCAGAATGAACTAAAATCAAATAATAGATCTAAATTAAAACCTAAAACAATAAAACTTCTCTGAGAAAACCTTCCTGGCCTTAGGTTAGAGGACTATTTATTTCTTAGATATCATACAAAAATATAGTTCATAAAAATTATATGTTGGGCCTTTCAACATTAAAGCATTTCTTCTTCAAAAGATATTATTGGGAAAGTTATAAGACAAACACAGGGCTGGAGAGATTTCTCAGTGGTTAGAGCACTGGCAGCTCTTGCAGTGGACCCTAGGGTCAGTTCCCAGCATTCAAATGGTGCCTTAAAACTATGTGTAACTCCCATTCCAGGAGGTCTAACACTCTTCTGGGCACAGTGATTCACATATTTAATACCAGAACTCAGGAGGCAGAGACAGGCAGATCTCTATGAATTGGAGTTCCAGAATATCCATGGATATGGATGGATGGAGGATGCATAGATGGATAAATAAAGTGTAAATCTTTTAAAAAGGACATTCACAGGTCTGGCATGGTGGCACATGCCTTTAATCTCAATATCTAGGAGAGAGGGGCAGTGGGTCTTTGTGAGTTTGAGGCTAGGCTGGTTTTCATTGTAAGTTTCAGGCCAGCCGGGACTACATGGTAAGACAGTCTCAAAAGCAAGCCAACCAACAAAAGCCCCATGCAGTTTATGGGCTGGTGATATGGCTCAGCAGATACAGGTGCCTGCTGGGAAGCCTGATGACCTGTGTTCAATCCCCTGACCCACAAGTTGGAAACCTAAAACCCCCTTCTGCACGTTATCCTGTCATCTCCGCAGGCATGGCATGACACTCACACAAATAATTAAGCATGCAACAAAGGCTTGTTTGCAATACATGTGTCTGATAGAGTCCTTCACTTTGGAATATATAAAGACCTCTCTAGACAAGAATAAAGCAAACACACATCTTTAAATGACTTGTCTTTATTTTATGTGTGTGAGTAATGAGTGTTGTGTCTGCAGGTATACAGTGTTCCATGAGCAGAGTTGGTGTCTGAGGAGCCAGTAGAGAGAGCATCACATGGTTGTGCCACATGGGTGATGGGAACCAAACTTAGGTCCTCTGCAAGAGCTGCCAATGAGCTGACCGCTGAACCATTTCTCCAGGCCCACAAACCCACAATTTTAAAAATTGGTAACCAACCAAGACTGTGAGGGTAAGAGGTACCTGAAAGCACCATTGTCATTTCGCCTAAAACTGCGAAAACCTGCAAGTGCTGGCAGAGACGTTGACCATCTTCAATTTCACACATTTTAGTGGAAATGTGAACTGGTACAGCCTAAGCTAAAAACCACTTCAGAATTCCAAAGCAAAGCAAAGTTAAATAGGCATCTACTTCACAATTAAGCAATCTTTTTGTTTTTTGTTTTGTTTTTTCCTCTGTCCCAGCAGCAATTTATTGGCCTGTTCTCAGGTCACAGCTCAGGTGGGGGCAGGCAGATCCCCGAGCTCAAACCGGTCCTCACTTTTCTGGGACTGGGCTAGGAGCAGCAGCATAGGGGAGAGGCCTCAACTCGGAGCCCTCCATGCTGCCACACTTTGGGGCCGTCAGATACGCGCTGCCCTTGCGAGTGGGAAAGCAGTTCCGATCTGTGGCCTGAGCACGGTGTCCCGAGGCACAGGTCTCGGTCACATGTTGGCTCGTTCCCTCTGCAGTCGAGAGTTGTACGCGCGGGACACGGTGTTCCAGGCATCCATGTAGCGGTCCATACACATGGCGATGCATTTCTGCTCCGAGTTATTCAAGGAGCCCCCGGGCTTCCCGATGCACTTCCGGAAACACTTGTCTGTCATCCTCTGCAGCAGCTCCTGTGCGTTGGCCACGGCGATCTGCACTTTCATCTGCTCCATGATGACCCCCGGGTCCAGCCA